TATTATTTTTATATTTTTTATCTTGTATTTTTTCCCTTTTGCTTTTAATTTTTATTTTTAGAATTCGTATTACTATAAATTCTTATTTTAAATTTGATATATTTTGGTTTTGTGTGAAAACCCTTTACACGATTGTTAATATTAATATAGTTGAGGAATAGCCTTGATTTGACTCCAATTTACTTTTTCAACTTTAGAATCTTTTATGTAGATAATAGTATTCGTTTTCTTTTAAGTTTTTAAGGGCCCCCTACTCAAGTATGGTGGCTTGGCAAATGCGGTCAACAGCTGGAGACTGACGTTAATTACGGAAGGGGAAAGTAAACGGCTGTGTCAGGGATCATAAGGGGAGATATATTTAAAAAAATAAGTGTTTCTAGGTCTCATTCAGTATCAGTATATCATTAACGTAATTAATGAAAGCCATTTGAAACCAAAATAGGATTTGCATTAGTAAATTATAGTTAAGAATAATGGCCCCCATTGTTCTGATTATTACTGGAATAATTTAAAGATTAAATCCGATAATATCTTAAGATGTTTTTGCAGTCGGAAAAACAAGAATATAACTCATTTTGATTCACCTTTCTTTTCTTTATGAATGACGAATGTGTTATTCTCTTCGTATGTGTTATTCTCTTCGTAATTTTCAGTACATATACTTGTATTTATAATTATGAAATGAAAGCAGCGTCAAACAGCTGTGAAAATTATATTTTAAAATTATTATTTAGAAATGCGCTTATAATGGTTTTTATATTTACGAAAGATACTTCCCGTTTACTCAGGCTCACTGTATTCAAGTCGATAGGTTCAATTAAATGGAAAGATCGATTTGTTAATTCATTTCCAAGTTTCAAATCGGATGAATGGACTCGCGAATAAAATGGCACATTAAAATACGGTCACTGAACTACAGTGAGCTATGAAAATTTTAACAAAGGTTTCGTACTTTATCTTATGAAAACAAAATATCAGAATCTAATTAAATGTTTCACTTATTATAAAAATAGGAAATATAAATATTTGTGAATAAAAAGAAATTATCTTTAAAAAAATAAAATTTAAATGAAGAAATAAAAGAATTACAAAATATTGCAGAAATTACATAAAATAGCGAATAAACTTATTCGGCACAAGCTCGCTAAATGTAAAACAGATTGTACAGTCAGAAAGCTCGCCTTGTCACACAAATGTACTGTTCATCGGGTTTAAAGGTTATTCAGACTAATGTGCGAAGTTCAGTGAGTAACTTGTATTTTCCTTTGAATGTATAAACTAGCCAAAAAACACTTTTTTTAAAAAAAATATATCTCCCCTTATGATCCCTGACACAACCGTTTACTTTCCCCTTCCGTAATTAACGTCAGTCTCCTGCTCTTGACCGCATTTGCCAAGCCACCGTAAATTGGCTGATGGCTCAGAACAGTAAACTGAACTTAAACTTGCTCTTATTCTAATGCCGTTTCTCTAGCCTATGACGAGAACAAACAGAAGTTTTTCTTTAAAATTAAATTTCAAAGTGATCTCAAATATAATTCTTCATTATAAAGGTAAGCTATTGATTTGTAATATCAAATACCCAGAATAAAGCAAATTTTCATTTCACCAGTTGGTCTAGGGAAATTATTTTCCTTTTTATTCTTTCTTCATGTTACGTACCTTTTAACTGGTTCCTTAAGAACGTGCTTTTATTTTTTAACAATTAATCCAGATGTGATAAAAATCATCATAAAAACATTGGCTCCTGGAATCCTTGATTTTTTTTTTTAGTTGTTTTATTTTTAAGTACATGAAATTTATTGGGAAAGGGGCCCAGGAAAATTTTTTGCATAGGGGCCTAAGAGTTCTAGTTACGACACTGATCAAGTTGTCAATTGACATGGAGAAAAACTGTGTTATTAACGTCTAACAATAGCAGAGGTTTGTAATTCAAAAGAAAAGAGAATTCCACTTCGCGTTATTATTGATAACAGCAGCATATCCATGGATGCCAACTTTCACTTTCAAATGTCGCTAGATACACCTGCAAAAAGTCGCTAAATTCAGAATGAATTTCGTTAAAAGTAGCAGCTAAAATTAAGGAGAAAAGTATAATCCATATTCCATAATAGGTTTCGTTACTCCTCATTTTTTAAATTAAATCTACATAAAAAATATGAATAATGTCCAGATTTTTCTGCGGACCATCAAAATGTTTTCACGGACCAACAGTGGTCCGTGGATTACCAGTTGGCGACCGCTGCTGTAATACATTAATGCATATCATACATATAAATTGTTTAATATAGCTTCTAAAAGGCTACTTTAAGATACTTTAAGTGTCCTGCGCAGAGTTTAATTTCTAAAATTAGTGCCTTCTAAAATTATAAAAGACTGTGAAAAATAATAGAAAAATAAATAAATAAAATAACTAAAAATTAAAATAATTGAATAATTAGATTTAAAGTCAAAGAAATAAGGAAAAATCTAATAAATTATTAAATCAATTTTAAGTAGCCAAATAAAAAATTGTCGGATCTCACTTTATTCGGGTATCCGGCTGGAATACAGTTCCACTCAGAAGCTAAGAAGCAACTCAGCCTATCTCCGTATTAAGTATAATGCACTATAGCATTTTTTTTTTCCAACTCACAAATGAAAAAGGATAAAACGATTAAATCGTCACTAAGGAGAACATTGACAATTTTAGAAACAGTATGAAAGTATGACGGTATGGAAAGAAACTTTAACGGGAAAGTGTAGCTTTGAAAATAAAGACGAAAGAGTTCAAGACTTTCTGAACGCGATGCTCTGCCAGTATAATTCTAGCCGTGAAGGAGAAATTTTCCCCGATTACAATCCAATAACAACGTGAGAATAAACGTACAAGTGACAGCAGTGGTCCCACCGTTTGGTTACATCATTCAAAAAGCCTACAGGAGTTCTGTAGTAGGAAGTCACTAACGTGGAACGTGTACGATCAGGGTATCACTTTTAGTACTTTCAGGAACACAAAATTTACCCGCTGTCATAAATTAATTCATTACACATTCTGGAGAACAAGCCTTTGAAAAATGGTTAGAGGTTTTTCTCCCCTTAAAAGTCTCAAATTCTGCGTAAGGTTTAAATGCGAGGGACAGACAGGCCTGCATTGAGAAGTCAGAATTGAGTTTTAAGAAATGTTTATTATTAAATCGAAATTTATCTGTTATAATGCTGATTCACTTCTATAAAAAAGGTGCCCGAGTCCTTTTATTTAGGGCTCCGGTGTGCTCCGGCTGAAATGATAATTTATCTCGAAAACTGAGTAGTACCGAAGCCGGGCTCCCGGCGCAATTTAAGATCTGGTCATGCGTACAACTGCGAAAACCCATATTTTAGGAAAATATACACTTTTTTAATAATGAAAAGCGTGGTATATTTTCTAAAGAATATATTAGTAATATATAAAACTTAATAATTTGCAATATTAGTACAAAATATGTTAAATTCACCATAATACAAAATACTCTGACAGTTCGTCACTGACTTTAAGCCCATTAAATCAATACAATGACGCTTGACTGACTACACCTTCACCATTTTGGAATTTTTCCTCGGACTTCCGGTGCTACACGTGCATTCGTGCATTCAGCGAAAAAATTGTACATAAAAGCTTATTATTTTTAAGGAAAAAAAAATATGGAAACATATTTGTAAAGAATGATTACAAATTATAAGAATTCGGAATGAACAATTATGTAACTATGGCAACGAGGACTAAAAATATCAAATAAAGCAAAACATACAGAACAGAAAAATTATGAGGATGAAATGCAGATTTACAGAATAAAAAAAAAAATGTTTTTAATGTCTTTTTTTACGTATCTATAATTTTTATACGCAATTTACTAAGCTTCGTTTCCGTAATTTCCTATTTAATGTGTTAATATATTATGCAAGAAAAACCATGAAAAAGGAATTGCTCCACATAAGCAGTAATTATCACCGCGGCAATGCCCGGGCCTCGGACATAGGAGCCAGTGAGCAAAGCCTTACAAATTCTTTGCCAGCGAGTGAGCAGGGTGGAAAATATACTGGAGATTTTATCTTAAAACACTGAAAAATTAAACTTCGTTAACGCTATTTATAACTGTATTTTTCAGTAAGAATTGTTAAAAACAAATCACATTTCAATTTCATCGAGTTTTCCTGATATATGCAGAGCCATGCATCACGTTCTTTTAACAGTTCCTTTGACTAAAGCTAAGGCTTGAAGGATCGTTCTCAAAACTGAGACTGATAAAAAAAAAAATAATAATAATAATAACTAAATTGCGAAGCAGTATGCCACAGAGAAAGCTACCAGTTTAACTCTACTCTCACGTTAGGATAACTCAGCCGAAAATATTAAATTAGCAATAAATAATTTAATAAATATTAACAATGATAAAATAATTAATGAGTTTGCTTTCTCAACGGTTAGAAAAGATATTTTTTTAGTAATCCAAGTATAAAAATAAAGCATACTGAACAATGCGTTAGTAAATATTTTACCTTAATTACATTGCATATGTTTGATATTGCGCTTCGTATGACGTCAAACAGCTTTGGATATCATAATTCTTTTTGACATCTTAGGATTAAACAGGAATCAAAAATAACATACACGTTAAAGATATATTTATCGAAAGCATTTTCATTCGATTAAAGTGATTAAAAGCTACTTTAATCATTAATGAAATGATCAACCATAACTACGAAAAAAGTAATTAAAGCAAAGAGAAACAATCAGTCGGTGGCCCCATTATTATCTGTCATCCCGTGGCCCCTTAGTTATTAAGGCCCTGCATATAAGACAAAGAATCATGCAAAAAAAAAAAAAAATAAAATAAAATAAAATAAAATAAACAATATTATGCATTATTAATTAGTCACCTGTATTCATACGCAATTTAGTAAACTACACATTTGCGTATTCGCCACTATTCATATTGCGCGTACATAACAAGCCAGGCTTACAAACGATCGGTACGTACTTTTCTGAGATCCTCTTCCAGGCATCGAATCTGGAAAGCTCCTTTCGCATCCAGTTTACCTGTACTTTTCAGCTTGCATAGTTTTTTCAACTGAGCTTCCAGGTTGGATATGCGGGCCCTGGTTGCCTCCTGGGCGGGACTGGCCGCTTGTTTGGGGCAACGGGGCCCCTCATCATCTGGGTCCGGGGGCTCCTGTTTTATCCGCTTCGCGCGATCCATGGCGGTCGTACGCTGTCTGCAGTACGCGTGCGCCGACCGAGGTACGGGTGAGAGAGTGTCACGTGGCCTGCAACTCCCGCGGGATCGACCCATCTGCGTACGCATTCCCTCCCCCCCTCTGTACCCTCTATCATCTCTGCGAAGAGTGACAACGCGAGGAAAGGGTGGGGAGGCGTATCGAAAAGAATCCGCCGCGGACGGACTGTTTCCTCTCTCCGAGCGTATATAAAAATATCTTCTGTCACGATATCACGACAAGAAATTCTCTCTTGCACATTTCAAATGCATGCCTGCTGACATAAATTTTCGGAATTCCGAAAGCATTTACAATGAGTGATGTTTGAAAGAACGGGCATCGAATTAAAGCATTTGTCGAAATCGATACCATATCAAACATCACGAACGGTAAAAGACATCACTTCAAGACAGGAAGACTAAATTTTTGCTCGCCCTAAGGAATGACTGTCCTTAAACCCAGTTCGCTAAAAATTAAAACATCGATTCACAAATCAGATTTATCGGTACGCAAAAAAATAATCTTAAATTTTTACTGATAAATGGATATTATTTTACCGCTAATTCGGTTAAATAACATATGTTAATGAGATCCCTATATGTCTTTTTAAGTCCTCCAAACGTGTTAGAAAAAACTCTCGTAAATTTAAAAAACTAATATAATTTTTACAAGCAATCGATACAAGTGTTCTTTTTTTTTTTTTTTTTTTTTTTTCAATAATATCGTTACAATCAATAAAATGTGGTTTGCTGTAAAAATATTAATTTGTATATCAGGAACGTTACACTGAAATTCGTGCTGAAAGAATTAACAAATGCAATTACAGCTTTAAATAACAAAGTCGAGAATAATTTAAAGCGTCGGATAAGAGAAAACGTTGTTTGTTTTGATTCTCTGTTTTATCTTTTTGATCCTGACCTTAGAACTCGAATATCAAAGATTACGGAAATTTTAATGAGCACACAAAAATCAGAAATTGGTGGAAATAATTGAATGCCCCGTCACCAAATGAATTACAATTCAGGAGTCTGATACCTATGTAAGACGAATGGTTTCTCATATACTTTATGCTTTTCTCTCTTTTAGAAATCACTTCCTATATTTAATAACTAGCGGAAGTACTGGATGTTAGTTAACTTAGATTCAGATTAATGTATCTAACAACAGAGAGAACGATACCGATGTAATCCTTCTCTAATAACGATGCAAAAAATACGATTCATAGTCATACATTTTTCAATCGGATGCGATATGAAACACATGAAAAATTTCGATAGAATAATAAACTAATTCTCTCTCATTATATCAGCAACAATTCACGCATTTTTTAATGAGTTTCGTCTTTCTAATCGAATGGTCGTAAAAGCTAAAGTTCTATCCAATATTTCAATTATGTTTAAATTTTAGTCGATTACATGTGGCAAAAAATGGGTCATAATTAATCAGAAATCAATAACGCGAACAAACAAACACACAAACAGACATTCTTCTTTATATTTATATATATTTTTTGGGAAACTTACAAATTTTTGATTAACATACTCTATGATTTGAAAGGGAGTAGTATCGAAATAAAGCATTTTATCTCCAAAGAGCGAGACTGTTGCCACTCGGAAAAATGAGTGCAAAATTTGTGTTTTTAGAGTTTTTAATTAATATCTCGGCTGATTAAAGTCGTACGAAGATGGGAACAGGCAAAATGGCTTCCACGAATTTTTGGAATCGGGAATAATGTATTTAATGTATGGCAATGCTATTTTTATTTCGTTGTAAAACTTAGAAATTTTTTATCAATAAACTCTACGATTTGAAAGCGAGCAGTGGCAACACAAATGAAACAGATTTTTATCTTCAGGGTGCGAGGTTGTTGCCAGTCAGAAAAATGAGGGCGAAAATGAGCGTTTTCAGAGTTTTTAATTAATATCTCATTTTAGTTTTTTGGGGGAGGAGGAAGTAGACGTCGACCTTTCCTAGACCCAGAAAAGAACTGTAGAAAGTTTGGTGACGATAACTATAATAGTCACTAAGTTAAACGCGAACAAACAAACACACAAAACATTCTTCTTTATATATATAGATAACCCTCGTGTACAGTTAGAGTCATCTTTAATTAGGCGCGTTTATTTCACAAATCACCGCAGGGAACGGTGGTCTGAAATGTTTTTTTTTTTTTTTTTTTTTTTTTTTTTTTTTTTTTTTTTTTTTTTTTTTTTCCCCCCGTTCTCTCGCTCTGAATCTAATGGAGGAAAAAAATTCAGAATATACTTACTTGTTCACAAATAAGACTACTCATTGCTTTTCTAAAGGAAATTTAGTTCAACTATTTAAATATCACAAAGCATTCGAGGTTATCAGCCTAAGGGGCTGATGCTTTCATGGAGGACTTTCTAATAGAAACTTGCTCGTATCCACATTACGCATGGGTTCCTTCAGGCTTTCCTGTTTCGTCATAGTTTGCATATGCTATTGAGCACAAAAACCTCTCTCTTGTTCTTTCATAAAGCTGCAGTCGTTTCTGAACTATTTAAATATCACAAAGCATTCGAAGTTATCAGCCTAAGGGGCTGATGCTTTCATGGAGGACTTTCTAATAGAAACTTGCTCATATCCACATTACGCATGGATTGATATAACTTCAGGCTTTCCTGTTTCGTCATAGTTTGCATATGCTATTGAGCACAAAAACCTCTCTCTTGTTCTTTCATAAAGCTGCAGTCGTTCCTGATGAATATTTTAATTTCTGTTTCTACATACCAAAACGAATCTTTCCTAGTGCAACGAATTGTATTCCGAATGTTGATTTTTTATGAAACAGTTCGAAAGTAAATCTGGTGGTGAAAGAAGTTATCCATAAAAAACTTCTGTCGCTTGACATTTTGCCGCCTGTACAATCTCTGCGGATCCTCAATTCTGCTGTACGGTGTCTCTATAACTCTAAGATGCCCACTGCCTCTGACTAGATAGTTCTGATATAGATAACCAGCAGGCTGCGTTGATATACAGAGCTGGCAGAGCTGGTTTAGATAGATAGTTTTTTAGGTTTATATAGATAGCCAAGACACAGGATTCAGACTTCTTCCTTCTGAAACTTTGCTGACATTAAAAAAAGGGCGGGAAAAGGAGAGGATACTTCACTCTTTTTCTAGTAAACAAAATTCAGTTGAGTGTATTTATACCTTGGTGCCTTTAAACATATATTATTTAATAATTAGTTCAGCCCTGATAAAAGCCATCATTGTTCCAAAAGTCGATTTGTAGACCTCTTAATTTCGCCCTAGAGATGTGGGAAAGGGACCCTAATTTTTTCTTTTTTCTTCTTCTTCTTTTTTTCTTTAGCCAATTATGTCCCTTTTGGCAAATTAATAGCCAAATCGGCTATTAATTTGGTTTTGGCATTTTGCGTTTTCAGCTATAAAACGGCTTTTCAATTTTCATATTGTTACCACCAAATATTAGAACCCTACATTATATTTAAAGAAATTAAATAATGAAGTATCTGCATGAATGTATGTTTGTTTCTCGCACTGTGAAAAAAAAAAAAAAAGATACGTAGAGACATCCAATTTTGAATAATGTAGTCCTCCACTCGAATATGGGCATCTGCAAGCACAAATTTGGAAATTGTTTTAGTTGAAATTGTGACTTGTTTTTAAAGGAAGTGATTTTGTTCCCTTCACATCATTTCTTTTATTTTTTATTATATCAAACATCACTCGGGTGACATCCATATTTCCAACATTAGGTGAGTAAATAATCGTTTTGCCTTCCTAGGTCAGCATACTTCTGGAAATGGTCAGTTTGCTGTCCAAATCTTTCGGAAGCTTTTACGAAGCTTGTTTTTTCTCGAACTCAATTATCTCTCGCTATGAATCCAATACATCAGATCAAAGTTGCTTTAAAGTTTTCCCTTTCATTTGCGTCCTTTTTCGGGCATTTAAAGGCAAATAAACATAAAAAACATAAAACGCTGTTTCTTGTTACAATTAATCCATATTTGCGATTTTCTAGAATCATTTTCGCGACACTTTCTTTCTAGGATAGACCATTTCGTTACTTCTTTACGCAAAGCCCGTTTATTCTTTGGCATACTAATTATCGTGATTTCATTTTTCTTCCACTCACGCATGGAGCTTTCACCAATCCCAGACATCCTTGCTGCAGCACGATTTCCATTTTTTTTCACAAACTAAATTACTTCACATTTGAAACCACTATTTTGTTCGTTTCGCTTGGCAGGAGCCATATTTAACACTAGAAAGGAATACTAGAGTGAGTATTTCAACTAAAGCAAATGCGATTCACTAAAGCCTTCGATTTTCATTTCAAAATCACGGCTCCAAATGACTACAGAAAGAGAAAACGTTTAATTCCTAATTCCACGAATTCATTTAGATTGGAAGTGCATTATTACTCTATTCCTCTTTTCTCGAAGCACTACAATAGCATTCTTTTGGACGCCTGCATTCAATACAATCCACCCTCTTTGCAGAATTATTTAATCCCTCTAGCATTTACTTCACACATATATGTTGTTGTTGCTGATACTCACTTAGTCTGATGTATAATCAGCCGAAGCCCACAAAATACCTCATAGCAAGAAGCGCAATATTACGCCTGTCGTTGGCAACAGCCTTGAGCACCTTACAAGTGACAGTGCGTTTTACCTCAGTTCCGCCCCTAATTTTCATGGAGAGCATCCCGTGGGACCATCCGAGGGTCTCTCCCTCCCTTTTTTTCCCTACTACCATCCTTTCGAGAGGACTTTCGGCTCGCCGCATATTTAGAATGCCCCTATGCCGCACAGACACTATGCATTTACAAAGATGTATGCCTTCTCCGGGATTCGAACCCGGGCACTTAGCACGGCAGTCAACCACGCTAACTACTATACCGGTTGGGCGGCTTCACACACGTATTGTTTCTCTTTTCGCTTGTCTGTTCAGTATAATAGTATATCAATTCGGAAGCCTGGGAAAAATCTTTGAATGAATGATTTTAAAAGATAAGTGAATCGCACATGTACCTTTCAGGTTTCTTCTTGAAGATAAGATTTCTCTACTCCGAATATGCCTAAAAATTTTAAAATGTAGTTTGAAGATACGC